GAGAGAGAGAGAGAGAGAGAGAGAGAGAGAGAGAGATGAGGAGAGAGAGAGAAGAAGAGAGGGGAGAGAGGAGAGAGAGAAGAGAGATAGAGGAGAGAGAGAGAGAGATAGAGAGAGAGAGAGAGAGTGAGAGAAGAGAGAGAAAGATGAGAAGAGAGAGGAGAGAGAGAGAGAAGAGGAGGAGAGAGAGAAGAGAGAGAGAAGAGAAGAGAGAGAGAGAGAGAGAGAGAGAGAGAGAGAGAGAGAGAGAAGAGAAGAGAGAGAGAAGATGAGAGAAAGAGAGAGAGAGAGAGAGAGGAGATGGGGGATTGTTAGCTAGATGAATAACTAGAAAGATAGATAGATAGAGAGGGTTGTGGTTATCTAGACAACTAGATAGATGGATAGATAAATAGACAGAACAGAAGTGGACATATAATCTAGGGAGACAAACACTGGAAATTATAAGATCTTTGGCCTTCACCCTGGACGAAGCAGGCAGCGAAAGATTAAAAGTTCACTGTGTAACTAATAAAACAAAATTTATGTCCCTTTCTTTTTTTCTTTTTCTTTTTCTTTTTTGTAATCGTATTTAACACTGAACAATAGAAGAGACAGTGCAAACTTTTAGATCAAAACTATTTTGTACTTTCGAAAGCTGCCATTACCATATGATTCCAGAAGTGCACTGCGCTTTTCATTTCTACTTTACTTCCAATGGCATTTGCAGGAAGTGAAGCTTCTTATAGAAAACGGAGCACTTGGAGAGAGTGAAGCCACGAAACCGAGAGCAACGTGCGTTCGGCTCAGTGTGGACTCGGCCAACAAGAATGACATCTCTAGAAGTTTAGTCGTGGAATTAATTGCTTTATGTCAGTTTACGTCATATTATTTATGGGTTTATTCCCTATTGTTTTAAGATAGAATACCGGAAATTTGGATGCAAAAAATATATCAGCAAATTGACGGTAAGAAAATAGAAACCAAATAAAAGGTCAATATCAGCAAACCAGCAATTTCAAGTACAGGAGGAACTGCAGTTCGGCTGCAGAGTATGCATTCAAAGTAAATGCGCCTCATACTTACAGGAACTAATGGAGATCCCACAAATCTGGAAGTCCAAGGGATATTCCCTGAACTCCATGTTGCACGAAAGCCTCAGCGTGGTCCTGGTAGAGGAAGGCCAAGTCAGGGTCTCGCTTATTCAGACGAGCAAAGCTTCCACCTAATGCAGACTTCCTCTTATGGATCCATTTTCATCGATACTCTATTCAGTTTCAGGAAACATTGCTTTTGAGCCCAAGACAACAGCAAACCTAATTTTGCTGTGTGCTTTGTAGCATTTCTGCATCTTTCGTTTTTATATTACAATATAGGTCAGAGACGAGGAAACATCAAATAATTTAAACAAACATTTTTTACCGCAGTCAGTTTTGATATATATATTTTATGGTATCAATACCATAAAGGAAAACTTTCTTAGGAATCTTTACAAGGTGTCGACCTCATCAAGTGATTTATCAAGTCCCGCGAATCGAAAGGGAATCGGTTATCCATTGATGCAAAAGAATCTCCATCGAATGGTGTCATTCTAAAGCCATTCATGACAAATGCATTTAGTTTTCACTCTTATTCGCTAGATGTTTTAAATTAGCGACGAACTCTGTTTTGCTTGTTATTTCTCTCCTTGTGAATAAATTTCGGGACAAGAGACACCAATGCAACTGAGAAATCACAGCAGATCCTCCTCTAAAAAAAAATGATAACCAGGAAAGGAGGTCTGCGAGGCCCTCGCCATGGAACCGTCCCAAACTGTGCGCATGAGCGAGGAGGATGAGGGAAGTCGGTGCACATCCAGGAAAGGGGGAGGAGGCGGGGAAGGAGCTACTTACAGGATGCGAGGGCAATGTAACACTTCTGGTCGTCAAAGGGAAAGAGTTCAAGGTCCATGTGGCAGGAGAGCGTGAGCGTGAGTCTGTTGACACAATAATACACTTGTCAGTCACACCTGCATAACTGAAGTATGCCCTGCACTTGCCACTGTAGTGTTGACGAAAGAAGGGAACATGCTTCATATGGGGGATTCATCCCAAACAGTTAGTCTCTGAAACTGACAAAAGATCCGCAGCAACTAGGAAGTTCATATATGACCTCGAGAAGATTTGTGGTCTTGTAAAGGATGTACATATCTTATCACACCTTGTGTCAGAGCGTTGACCTTTGCCAAATTGAGAACCATTAGTCTTTGATCCACACGTGCCCAAAGATTAGATCTGGCAAAAAATATATGAACACTACCCGGTGTTTCCTGCATTCCAACGGTTTGATAATAACTGTTCGATTTATTCTAGGTGAGGATAACACGACTGTCTGGCAGGTGATGGCGCCTCGAGACTGGTGAACTGTCTACTTCCTGACAAGTGACTGAAAGGATATCATTCCTAAATAACATTAACAAATGCATAAAAGGAAGATTTTGAGGAGGAGAAGAAAGAGCGTGTTGGGTTTAGTAGAGATAAGA